ACAGAACTGATCGGATCAGTCCCCTCGTGCCGACTAGACTTGCCGCGCGAATGGGGCGTACACCCTGTGTTTCACCCGGAAAAATTGCGAAGATTTTACTGGGATCACACAAAAGAGCACCCTCTTACTGCCACTGAAATCCAGACACGCGCGATCAAAAAAGTGCTCGCCATACGAAGAATCGGCGATCGAATCCAAGCGCTCGTCAAGTGGATTGACCACAACCCGGTCTACAACTGCTGGATCGATGCAACACCTGAGCTTTTGCGTCAGTATGAGACAGAACAGGAACCGACGTCATTACCCATGTCGTCGCATACGCTCCTGGAGGCGGGTGTTACGGAATGACGTCGGGTCATCCGTATTTTTCCGAAGAAAAACTAAAAATGTGGATAAGTTCACTGCCGCAGAGAAAAACCCCAAAAAAATCATTTTTTTTATTCTTTTTTTTTAGTCGTTTTATTAAATAAAGTCAGTCTCCCGGAAGTCCCCAAAACCAGTCCGAACGCCGTCCGACTCCGCCGTTCGACCTCCTTCTCCAAAACCATCCCGCTGAACATCCCAAATACGGAACTGCCCAATTCCGTATCAATGATCATCGCATTGATGGTTTAGTGGTATAATTGTCGCCTGCCACGCGGCAGTCCCGGGTTCGATTCCCGGTCAATGCATCTTGGCCACCTGCGTAACGTTGATTGATCTATATTTTTAAGATCCTTTTTCTGCAATTCTTCTATTTTGAGCAAAACTTATTTTGAATCCAAGTATTTGAGCTGTTTTAACAAAGATGTTATTTCATCAGGGTATTCCATAACTTTATTTCAGTTGTGGTTTTGGTGCTGTGAATGTGGACTTGTGTATTTCAAAGGAAGCCTGTCTGTGAAACAATTTGATCTGCGAATACCCTGGCATTCCTTGAACTTAAGCTCTGTGTTTTCATAATGCTTTGACTAACAACAAATCCTCAATCATCCTGTACATCACTGACAGATTACAGAGTACAGACATCCTCACATATAATTTCCAGATACAATGGCAACCTGGATCCTGGAATAAAATTGCTGATGCTTTATCAAGAACCACCAGTCTCACAAAAGACATGGAAATTCAAGTAAACACTTATCCAAAATCCACCAAAAGCATAATTAATTTTGGAAATGAACTCAACAACTTGGAACTGAAAATTAACAATGAGATTGTTGAAGAAATCAAAGAAGCAAACAGAATTGACCCTCAATTCCTCAAAATTTTAAAGTATCTCATTGACCCAAACAACATACAACAGTGAATAACATTGAAAATGAGATCCAAAATGCTTGGATTGTATGTTAGGTGTGAAGTTGTAAATTCTGCACATCTCAAGTGTGCAATCAAGGTAATCATCCAGCACATTGTAGCTCATGTGCTGGTTGGTGTTTTAGGTTACCAGAAAACTGTGGGGGAGAAGTGGATGATAACTGCACAACAATGGTGCTAGAGTTGCCAAATTTCACTTGCCATCCACTTTGGCAACTCTAGCACCATTGTTGTGCAGTTGTCAATGATCTGCCTGCATTACAGTGGATGCTGTTGTTTGTTGTGCTTGAACTTGGGCCAAGATCCAAACACACACAATTGAAAGGGTGTTCGCTGTATGAAGAATCAGCAGGCTCATCAAATGGATTGACCACAACCCAGTTTATAATTGCTGGATCAACACAACACCTGAACTGTTGTGTCAGTACGTCGTCCGACTCCCCTTCAACGCCTTCTTCCAAATCTATCTCGCTTAACATCGTAGATAGTGAAACTAGCTTATTCCAGAAAAAGTCTATAGCCTGGTTAGCTCAATCGGTAGAGCGTGAGACTCTTAATCTCAAGGTTGTGGGTTCGACCCCCACATCGGGCGATTCCTTTTAAAGGGTTTCATATCAAAACTTCCCACGCTTTCACGGCTATTTGCTTCCTTCACTGTACATCCTCCAATTCGGAACATAACTGAACTGGTCGACGCTGGCATTCACAACTGTGGTCTATTGTCTGACTGAATAACGCATGGCCAACAATGAATTGCCGAAGATGCACAACAAGCGACAGCACGCCGACACCGACGCCGCACGCCCGGGCAATCACAAGGCAAAGACCGCGCGGTTGATGCGCGCTGTTCCAGCCCCTGCGGAGCCCGTCTACACCATCGATTCTGCGAAGGTCAGTGTGTATGTGACATCGTAGTCTCCAACGTAACCTTGCAGGGCCTGCGCCGGGTCGTACCCTATTGGTTCACGCACCGCACGATGGCTAAGGGCCGCTGGGTCGCGCGGCAGTTGCTCGAATGCTTCAGTATCGAGTTCCAGGACCAGCCGCGAGAGTACTACGAGCGCGCGATTCGAGCCGGCAAGATATGTGTCAACAACGAGCGCAAATCACCCGACTACATCATTCGCAATGGTGACCTTGTCTGCCATTCGACACACCGTCATGAGCCTCCCGTCTCCAGCGCCCCCATCAAGATAGTATTCAGGGACAACGACACACTGATAATAGACAAACCCGCAAGCATCCCGGTCCATCCTTCTGGAAGATTTAACCACAATACCGTCCTCGGCATACTGAAAAGCAAGGAATATGGATTCTCTGATCTTTACTGTAAGGATTCCTTTTTTTTTTTTTTTTTTGCTGGCAGACGACAAACACCTTGGCAGCTATCAACCGAATCGATAGGTTGACTTCCGGAATACTTCTACTCGCACTTAATAAGCAAAAGGCAGCAAGCCTCGCCGCGGAACTTGCCAAGCGAAATGTTTCAAAAACATATCTGGCTCGTGTTCTCGGCAGATTTCCCAATGAGCTCATTACGTGCTCAGAACCGATCTTAGTAGCGTCTTCGAAACTTGGTGTCAATATTGTCAATCCCGATGGACGGCCGTCCGAGACTGAATTCGAATTTCGATCTTACAGCGAAGTGACGAATACTTCCGTTGTCGTGTGCAGGCCCAAAACGGGAAGAACACACCAAATTCGAGTGCATTTGCAGTTTTTGGGATTTCCCATTGCTAATGATCCTCTATATGGAAACGCCCACTTTTGGGGTTCATCTTTGGGCAAAGGTGGTGTTGGAAAGGAAGAAACAGCAGCAATAGTTGAACGCATCAAAGCTGCGAAACTGCAGTTGTTTGCCGATGACTATATTTTGCCGAGAGAAACAGGCGAAAAACCGGATGGAAATCCGACCATCAATGCTACTAGTCTGCCTGGAAAAACTAATTCGCCATCAGAAATTGGAGCTGCTGTGATTTCCGGCACAGAGTATTTAAGTGAAACCATCCCGTCTTCGATTCCAGGAGACACGTTGAGCGCGGACGACTTTCCCTGTTTGGAGTGTTTGGCGAATCGTGCAGACCCACTGCGAAGTCAGCTAAGCATTTACTTGCATTCTTGGAAATATAACGGGGAGGATTGGGCGTACGAAACTGAACAGCCGGAATGGGCCGACGACGGTTTCGTAGATCAATGAGCAGCGACGCCGCCGCGCGGTCTCCGCGCAATGCTTAATTTTTGCGCCGCTGCGTGGGGCGTTAGTAACTGGGCCGCTCTTAGTAACAAAATAAAAGAGACTTTCAATGGAGGTCGACGAGGTTCCCCCTGCGGCTTTCTGCTGCGACCATGATGGCGCCTCGCAGACGCCGCTTCGTATCGACGTACACACGCATATCATGCCCGCGCGGCTTCCCGACCTCAACCAGAAGTACGGCTATGGCGGGTGGATTTCGGTCGAGAACACCGGATCTGGCAAAGCCCGCATGATGCTCGACGGCAAGCCCTTTCGCGACGTCGAGTGCAACTGCTGGCAGCCAGAGGAACGCATCAAAGAGATGGCCGCCACCAGCGTCGATCTGCAGGTTCGTTGGTCAACTAAGACCGTGTGGCACTGAAGCCTCTCGTCATTCATAGGTTATCTCCACCATCCCTGTCTTCTTCAACTACTGGGCTAAACCAGAGCACTGTCTGGATCTTGCGAGGTTTTGTTGTCTTTTAGCAATTATTGTCACAAGGAACTCATTATGAACTTGATGCCAGGTACCTAAATGACAACATTGCACAAACTTGTTCTCTCTATCCGTCCAAGTTTGTGGGACTTGCCACTCTACCTATGCAAGATCCAGAATTGGCTGTCCAAGAGCTTCGACGATGTGTTGAGGAGCTTGGTTATAAAGGCATCCAAATCGGAAGCCATGTGAACGGTTGCTATCTCCACAAACTATCATGACTAACTTTTTGCTATTTCCTCAGATTGGAACTTGGATGCTCCTGAATTGGATCCTGTTTGGACTGCCTGCGAAGAATTGGACGTTGGTGTGTTCATTCATCCGTGGGATATGGACAACCGTGGTCGAATGGAAAAGTATTGGTATCCGTGGCTGATTGGAATGCCAAGCGAGACCACTGTTGCTATCAGCTCTCTCATATTCGGCGGAGTTCTCGAAAAGCATCCGAACCTTCGTGTGTGCCTTGCCCATGGAGGAGGATCGTTTCCGTTCACTGTTGGACGCATCGAACACGGGTTCCAAGTACGGCCAGATTTGTGTGCAACGCGCTGCAAACAAAATCCTATCAGTTACCTTGGGCGAATTTGGACCGACTCGCTTGTGCACGACGAAGATGCGCTGCAGTACCTCATAAAAAAGATTGGCGTGGAGCGCATTATGTGCGGCAGCGATTATCCTTTCCCATTGGGCGAGCAAGAGCCCGGGAAGCTGATTGATTCATGCGCCTGGCTAAGCTCGGAGGACAAGGCGAAGCTGCTGGGTCTGAACGCAGCAAGTTTCTTCAACATTGATGTTGACGCAATTCGCCGGAGCACTTAACTCTCTTGGACTTGATTGATTCTTTTACTTTTGAACCCAGTGCAAAATAAATGGTCGAGAGGAACAGTCTTCCGTTGAGCAGAAGCTATGAAGCGTTACGTTCACTGTGTTTTGTATCGCCAGCACGTCGGAAATTCAACAGCAACTCGCTGTGAGACTTGCAGCGGTAGGTCGAGGGGACGACCCACATTCAAACAGCGGGCGGCATACAGCCATAGGCAACTGTTACATTTAAAACCACAAGCGGAAGACTCAAAGTAATCTATTTTAGAATCCCTCACACAGCTGTGGCGCAAGGATCGAAAATGTAGCCGTCAGATGCACTGCGCTCACGGTGTACGTGCCCTGAATTCCGTTTCCCTCTAAGATGTTGACGGTGCCGCTGAGAAACACAGGATTTTGCACAAAACTGGTGAAGTTGTACACATGCTGCGAGCACAACACCGAGTCTGGCCCAAACCAGGGCATGGAAGCATAGTTCTCGTATGCCGGCATAGATGATGCCGCTGCTGCCTGTTGCGCGGCAGGAAGAGCTGTCAAGCGAGCTTCCAGAACGCCCTTAATGCTGTAATCGAAGCCAGCAGTCGCGCTGGAGTCGCTTGGATTGAATGTTTGAGTCGAAGAATTTAGCCCGTACACCAGAAGCGATGACACCGCCTGCAACTCCGAGTCGACCCAGATGGACTTCTTGTACATGAATGGAGTGGAGCTCTTGTCAACACGCCGCACATTTGGGACCTCGAGTTTGGCCTCCTGGAAGGTGAAGGAAATGCCAGGAACTCCCGTTTTGATCTCGCGACCGAGTTCAATGACGACAGGTTGCGTCG